TCCATTTGACATCAGCAATGATATCCCTCATTCCATGTCTGTTTCTGAATCTGGCTTGAATATCTGGAATTTTCCTGTCGATGTACTGTTGTAACTGCTTTTGAATGATCTTCAGCAAAATTTTACTTGTGTGTGATATTAAAGATATTGTTCAATAATTTCCGTATTCTGTTGGCTCTCCTTTCTTTGGAATGGGTACAACTATGGATGTCTTCCAGTTGATTGGCCAGGTAGCTGTCTTCCAAATTTCTTGGCATAGACAAGTGAGCACTTCCAGTGCTGTATCCATTTGTTGAAACATCTCAGTTAGTATCCCGTCAATTCCTGGGGCCTTGTTTTTCGCTAATGCCTTTAGTGCAAGTTGGACCCTTTCCTTTAGTACCATAGGTTCCTGATCATATGCTACCTCCTTAAATGGCTGAACATCGACCAATTCTTTTTGGTGCAGTGACTCTGTGTATTCCTTCCATTTTCTTTTGATGCTTTCTGTGTCATTTAATATTTTCCCCATAGAATCTTCAACTATCACAACTCAAGGCTTGAATATTTTCTTCAATTCTTTCAGCTTGAAAAATGTCGAACGTGTTCTTCCCTTTCAGTTTTCCATCTCCAGGTCTTTGCACATTTCATAATACTTTACTTTGTCTTCTCGAGCCACCCTTTGAAATCTTCTGTTTAGCTCTTTTACTTCATCATTTCTTCCATTTGCTTTAGCTACTCTATGTTCAAGAGCAACTTTCAAGTGTGTTCTGACATTCATTTTGGTGTCTTCTTTCTTTCTCTTGCTTCTTTTTTCTCTTGCTTTCTTCATATATGATGTCCTTGATGTCATTCCACAACTCATCTGGTCTTCGGTCATTAGTGTTCAATGCATCAAATCTATTCTTGAGATGGTCTCTAAATTCAGGTGGGATATACTCAAGGTTGTACTTGGGCTCTTGTGGACTTGTTCTAATTTTCTTGTTTCAACTTGAACTTGTATATGAGCAATTGATGGTCTTTTTTGGAGTCAGCCCCTGCCTTTTTCCTGGCTGATGATATTGAGCTTTTCCATTGTCTCTTTCCGCAGATGTAGTCTATTTGATTCTTGTGTATTCCATCCGGCAAGGTCCACGTGTATAGTCTCCATTTATGTTGTTGAAAAAAGATAGTTGAAATGAAGAAAAAGTTGGGCTTGCAAAATTTTATCATGCCATCTCCAGCATCATTTCTATCACCAAGGCCATATTTTACAACTATCAATCCTTCTTCGTTTCCAACTTTTGCGTTCCAGTTGCCAGTAATTATCAATGCATCTTGCTTGCATGTTTGATCAATTTCAGACTGCAGAATTTGTAAAAATCATCTATTTCTTCATCTTTGGCCTTAGTGGTTGGTACATAAATTTGAATGATAGTCATATTAACTGATCTTCCTTGTAGGCGTATGGATATCATCCTATCACTGACAGCGTTGTAGTTCAGGTTAGATCTTGAAATGTTCTTTTTGATGATGAATGTTATGCCATCCTCTTCAAGTTGTCACTCCCAGCATAGTAGAGCATATGATTGTCCAATTCCAAATGGCCAGTACCAGTCCATTTCAGTTCACTAATGCCTAGGATATCGATGTTGAAACATTCTATTTCATTTTTGACGATTTCCAATTTTCCTAGATTCATACTTCATACCTTCCATGTTTCAATTACTAACGGATGCTTGCAGCTGTTTCTTCTTGTTTTGAGTCATGCCACATCAGCAGACCAAGGTCCTGAAAGCTTGACTCCATCCATGTCATTAAGGTTGACTCTACTTTGAGGAGACAGCTCTTTCCCAGTTTTATTTTGAGTGTCTTCCAATCTGAGGGGCTCATCTTCCAGCACTATATCAGACAATGTTCCGCTGCTATTCATAAGGTTTTCAGTAGCCAGTTTTTTCAGAAGTAGACCGCTAGGTCCTTCTTCCTAGTCTGTATTAGTCTGGAAGCTCAGCTGAAACCTGTCCACTAAGGATGACCCTGCTGGTATTTGAAATATCGGTGGCAAAGTTTCTGGTATCACAGCAACATACAAGCCACCACAGTAGGATAAACTGACAGCTATGAGGATCTTTGTAAATGTAATTAAATTAAAGATCGAGATGGGACTATACTGGATTAAGGTGGGCCCTAAATCTGATGAAGGTGTCCTTATAAAAGAGAGAAAATGAAAAGACAAAGGGACTTAGAGGAGAACGCCATGTGGAGACCAAGGCAAAAATTGGAGTGATACATCTACAAGTCAAGGAATGCCAAGGACTGCTGGCAACCACCAGAAGCTAAGAGGGAGGCATGGAACAGATTGTCTCTCAGAGCCTCCAGAAAGAACCAACCCTGCCAACACCTTGATTTTGGGCCTCCAGTCTCTTGAACTGAGAGAATAAATTTTTGTTGTTTTAAGCCATCCAGTTTGTGGTAATCTGTTATGGCAGCCCTAAGAAACTAATACATCCAGCAAAGCTGCCCATTTGATGCTTTCTTTCCTCATGGTGCCCTTTCACTTCAACTTTGTGCCTCCCCATTGAAAGGCCTTCCCAATCAGATAACCTGGGCTCTCCTCTGCTACCTCAGGGTTGCGCAAAGAACTTCCCACAGGGCTCATTCTAGCAGAGGGATCCCTGGTGGTGCACTGGTTAAAGTGCTCTGCTGTTAAAGAAAAGGTTGGTAGTTGAAACCTAACAGCCGCTCTGGGGGAGAAAGATGTGGCAGTCTGCTTCTGTAAAGATTTACAGCCTCAGAAACTCTATGGAGCAGTTCTACTCTGTTCTCTAGAGTCGCTATGAGTCAGAATCAACTCAACAGCAGTGTTTTTTTTAAGAAGGAAAATACATGTTCTGCTGAGAAAGTGCTAGTATAGACAGAAGATAATGCTAATCAAATTCCCTTAAGGCTTATTTCTTTACAAATAATCATGAAACTGGTTTATTGAGTGAGTTAAATCCAGAAGGAAAGGGCTTTATTTTTCTCTAACTGCTACCTTACAATCAGCTTCTGTTGGATCTCCATCACTCCTATTCTTGGGCAGAACCCACAGATTTTAGTGACAAGTCTCATTTTAGTAATTACAACACTACAACTCTATTTCAGGCATTAAAATGTCCAGGCTAGTCCAATTTAACATCAGTCTCACATTTCCTGCTCAGTCTCAGCTCAGGCCTGACTTACAGTGAAGAAGAGAAGGAGCATAGTCAGTTTCTTTCACTCTTCCTTCATCTTCTCTGCCTTCTCTATATTCTGGATGTCCCCAGGCCACTGCAAACAATGGGATATTAGACAAGGAGGAGCAAATCTCCCTGCAGTTAACTATTGGATAAGGTATATAGGCCATCATACTCCTCCCCCCGATATAGCAGAGTCCAAATGTTGACTCTTTCATGAGGTGCATCTGTAGGACCTTTGGAGGCCTCAAGTGGACCTCCACATTGCATACTTTCTTGATGCAGGTGGCACACTCTCTGGTTGACTTTTTGCAGCATCCCACACACTCACTCACCTCTTCCCCCAACCCTGTGGCCTCTTACAGCTACCGTCTCTTTGTTGGATAGGGCCTATATCTTCCCATGGTCGAGAAGTCCCACAGGAAATTCATGTATTTGCAACGTCAAGTGGTGAAATGCAGGCTGTTATCTCTGTTTCCCTTCTCTCTTCATCCTTCCATTTTGGGCTGCCAAAACCAACCTCTTACCTTCTGAATTCTCCATGTGGGAAGTTCACATCCATTCATCAAAAAATATTTATCAAGCACTATATTTTCCAGGCACCATTTACCAGGGTCACTATGAGTTGGCATCAACTCAATGGCAAAGAGTTTTATGTCCACAATGCCCACCATCCCCCAGACTCCAGGGACATTCATCAAGTTCTTCTAAGAGTTTTCTAATCATTCCTTGTCTGCTGCACTGGGTCTGCTCATTCCTGCTACTCTGCAAGCTTTCAGTCTAGAGTGGGATACCAGACTATTCTTCTTATTACTAGCTTAGAGCCCCTCTCACTTGCCTTTGGGAGAAAGCCAAAACAATCTCCCCATAAGTCTAGAACCTCCACTCAATGACTCTCTAATCACCCTTTTAAATATTATCTTCTCTCATATGAGATGAGTAATATGAATTGATAGTTTCAGAACCTTTTCTGCTATCTTTTAGTAAGTCTAACATGGCTGTGTCTAGTTTCTCTCTTTAAAATATGGGGACATTTCACCCCTTTTGTTAGCTTTGAGGCTTTAGCCAAAATGCTAAGACAACCAGAAAAGTCTCATTGAGTACCTGGTTACTGATAAATTTGGCTCTGAATTCCCTTAGCAATCAGGTAAATCTTATGTCTTTGGCCTCAGTAACCTATGACTATAAACCAAGGTTAAATTTCCCTTTATATACACAAGTTAGTATGCCATGACTCCCCACTGACTAATTGCATATTTATGTAGCAGAGTCCAAAATGTAATAAACTTTTACTCAGATATGTGAAAAAATATTTTATTTTCTATAACTGATTTAACTTTTTCCCTCAAATCTCAAAGTTGAAAAGGATGATAAAGTTCACACAGAGGCCAATGAGGAGCCACAGGACACTCCAAGTTTCTGTGCACACAATTCTGAGGTTGACTCTTTCCTTGGTGCCATAAAGTTACATCAACTCCTGCATTCACACACAATCCATTTGGGACAGGGGAAGGGAAAGGAAAGTTACTTGAATAAAAGAATTTACTCAGAAAAGATTGTTTCAAGGTGAAAGAAGCCTTAAACGAGAAGAAATTGAGTTATTTTTAATAGGCAAATTGAAGCACCACTTCACTGCCCCACCCCATCCCACTCCCGCCCCCGCGCCCAGCACAATTCTCCAGCTCAGGTGAGACATAGTTCTCATTACATCTTTCCTGCTGGCATGGAGGTGATAGAAACACCATCCAGACAGTAACTTTAAACCATGGTGTTCATCAGAATTCAAGTTAATGATGATTTTTTAAGTTGAATTTCCTGACTTTTTTCTTTTAAGTGTTCACATCATTATTTTAGTTGACTAGTGCTAATTTCATGTTAAAAGCAGCTCTAATGTTAGCCCAAAAAAGTCCACGTTTGCTCTTCTCAGTGGGCCATTCCAAGTAAGTCCGCTTTGTCATGAGAGCCTTCAGCTTGTGATACTTGCTAGGAATGCTGTTTTGTGAAATGGGTTCCAGCAAGATCAGGATTAAGTTATCAGAGCCCTCATGAAAGAGTTTGTGGTGGGCGAAGTAGAGTTCATAATGACACCACTCACTCTGGACAAAGTTGGGAGACAAAACAAAAATGGACTTGTAACTTTTTTCAATGCAGTTGATGATATTTTCAATGATGCTTTTGCCAGGAACAAAGTTTCTCTCATGGAGGCAAATCCTTATATCTTCTTTTTCTAAGCAAGGTACCAGTTCATTCTTCACCCAGGCAGAATCGTGTTCACTGTATGAAATAAAAGCATGGAACTGAATATTTCTTTGGAGTTCTTCTAAGGGTGTGTTCCTCGCCCTGTACCGGGTCTGGGTCCACTGACATATCATCCTGAGATACCAGGGCAGATCCAAGCAGATGCAGAGGAAGGTCACAGTAACAACCAACACCAGCACAGTGACTCCAATGGTGACAATCAGCAGCATTGTGTTGCAAGATAATTGAGATATGTGAAAGTCCTGTAATGGGGTTCCCTTGTAGCTTTCTGGGTAGGCACACTTATAAGACTCAGGCCAGCCCTTTACCATTTCACTTGATATTTGGCTTATACTTTTGATAAATTCTCTTATTTCACATGAACATTGGAATGGATTGTTCCCTGCTTTTATTGACCTAATCTTCTGGCAACTGGAGAAGAAATCAGTTGATGGGTAGGAAATTGAATTATGGTCAATGGTCAACGCAGAAAGGCTGCTAAATGCACCACATCCAGGAAGGTCAGTTAGATAATTGAAAGCAACATTTAGTTCTTGCAAAGCTTCTAGTTTTGTGATTTGTTTAGGAATGTTCTTTATTCTGTTATTGTGTAAATCCAGTACTGTGACCCTGGGAGGTAAACATCTGAAAACAGAGTCAGTAAGTATATTTGAAGACAAATTTAACACTACTATACTCTCAACCCAAGTGCAATTTCTCTCATATCTATTAAATTCCAAAGAATTCTGGCTAACATCCAGTATTTCCAAAGACGGCATACCCTTAGTCATGAGACCTACTTTGAAAAGGTCTTTTAATCCATTCTTTTGTAAGATAAGTGTCTCCAATCTATCTAAGGTGGAACAATTTTCAAAAACACTGTCCGTGAAAACGTTCTGGGTAAAGTTCAAGAACTTAAATGTGCTTGGTTTCCCAGGACAAAGCATGTGTATAAAAGGTGTATCTGATATGGTTAACATCAAAATGTTCATCTCAGAAAACACTGTATATAATGCATTCTGTGAAAAAATAAAAACTCTATTTGTAATATGTTCTATTTTCAATGCTTTCAATGCAGTGTTACAATAAGTCAAATATTCTTTCCTAATGTTTTCAATTATTGTTAAATTGTAAATATTGAGATATTCTACAGGTTTGGGCCAAAGGAATCGAAAAATTGTAACCAAACATTTCCAAGTTGTTTCCACATGGTTCAAGGTAAGATTTAGTAAGCTTGGACCTCTGGTGAGTTCTGATAAAAAGTTCATTAAAACATGACAGTTCTCATCATTTAATTTAACGTTAGTCAGTTCTAAATACTCTAAAGTGTTAACTGATATATTCACTTGGACAGAGAATAAACGATTTGGATGAAAAACAAGATGAAGTTTCTTTGTATTAAGAATTTGAAGACTTTCTATTTCATTTCCTTTCACGTTATAGTCTTCTAAATCCAGAAGGATGTAACTTAGATGCAAGTGAGCAATGGGTAGCAGATCTAATTGTTGTAACTTTGTAGCACTTAATCCCAAGAAATCCAGCTGCATGGAGTTGCCAAATTCCCTACAGATGGGCAGAGTATCAAAGTCATTGAATGAGAGGTCTAAATGCTTGAGACTCACAACAGGATAGCAGGACATCTTCCACAGCTGATTGTGAGATAAATCCAAATATTCCAAACCCTGGTTGAACCTGAGAACACTAAAATCAAGTTGCTGGATTTTATTATGAGAAAGTATCAAAACTTCCAGGTCTGACAGGAAGCTGATGTCAGGGAACTGAAGTTCAGATATGTAGTTATGAGACATATCTAAGACTCTGGTTTTTGGTGGTAGATCTTTCGGAATCTGCGTAAGGCCTGTTTTTGATACGTCTACTGCAAACTTGCTTTCATCAGAGAACTGGATTTTGCTTCCAACTAGTAAAGCCATCACACAAACAAAATTAAAGTTTCTGACAATAGGTTCTTTGTCTTCAGTCATGATGTTGCAGTGGCTATCCCAAAGGATTGTTGTTGTTCTTCAGAACATCTTGATACAGATCCAAATTCTATAAATATAATATATATGAATATAGATGCAAAATTCTCAATAAAATTCTGGCCAATAGAATCCAGTACTATATTAAAAAAATAGTAATACACCACGACCAAGTGGGATTCATACCAGGTATGCAAGGATAGTTCAACATTAGAAAATCAATCAAGGTAATCCACCACATAAAAAAAAACAAAAGAATCACATGATGATCTCAATCAACACAGAAAATGCATTTGATAAAGTCCAACACCCATATCTGATAAAAATTCTCAATAAGATAAGAATAGAAAGGAAATTCCTCAACATAATAAAGGGTATCTGTACAAAACCAACAGTCAACATCATTCTCAATGGAGAGAGGCTGAAACATTCCCCATGAGAACGGGAACAAGACACAGATGCTGTTTACCGCCACTCCTATTTAACATTGTGCTGGAAGTCCTAGCTAGAGCAAGAAGGCAAGAAAAAGAAATAAAGGGCATTCAAATTGGTAAGGAAGAAGTAAAATTATCCCTATTAGCAGATGATATGATACTATACATAGAAGACTCCATCAGAAAACTACTAGAACTAATAGAAAGATTCAGCAGAGAAGCAGGATACAAGATCAACACACAAAAATCAGTTGCATTCTTATATACTAATACAGACAACTACGAAAAGGAAATCAGGAAAACAGTACATTTATAACGGCCCCTAAAAAACTCAAATACTTAGGAATAAATCTAACCAGGGAAGTAAAAAACCTATACAAAAAAAAGTACAAAACACTACTGCAAGAAACCAAAAGAGACCTACATAAATGGAAAAACATATCACGCTCATGAATAGGTAGACCCAACATTGTGAAAATGTCAATTTAATGCAAAGCAATCTACAAATACAATGCAATCCCAATCCAAATACCAACAGCATTCTTTAACAAGATGGAAAGACTAATCATCAAATTTATATGGAAAGGAGAGGCGGGGCCAAGATGGTGGAATAGTTAGATGCTTCCTCTGGTCCCTCGTACAACAAAGACCCGAGACAGCAAGTGATTCAGTTATATATGACAGTCTAGGAGCCCTGAACATCAAAGGCAAAGTTCAGGAATCAGACTGAGCAGGAGGAGGAGGGAGAGATGGTTCAGATGCAGTGAGGAGTTGCCAGGCTTCACCTGGCAGAAGCCAGCACCCTTCAGGCCTGATTGGCCGGTGTGCACAGTGAGGCAAATAGTGGCGTTCGAGGGGAATTTTCCCCATCAGGAGAGACCAAGTGGCAGAGAGTCTACTTGGGCCTCCAGAACCAGTGAAAAGCAGTGCTTTATCTGCAAAAGATAAGTAGATGCGTCTGACTTACCATACAGATAAAAAAACACCCTCTTTGGGAAAAACCTCTTTTCCATTTACCTGCCCCCTCCTCACTCTGCACTGGGTCCCAGGCTGGCTTCAGTAATTGACGAGTCCCCTGGACCGGAAGTAGGACCCATCATGCAATGTAAGCCATTCTCCTGGCCATGGAAAGGGAACAAATTAACAAACAGGAGAAAATAATCTGCCAGCTCCGCTAAACTGGGAACTAAGGGTAGTCACAGCTCCTTTGCCTATGCAAAGGCATAAGGGGCCCACAGACTTTGAATGCCTTTCACCCCCGCATAGGCCTGTGTGGGCCCATTTCAACAGCAGAGGCCCTCATTACCACAGTACAACAGGGTACATACCTGAAGCCTAACTTCAACTATATCAGCTATATGGTGAAATGGCAGGTTCCTGATATTTGACACTGCTCTGCCCATTATGCAGGGTCCTCACCTACCCACATCAGGGGCCTGAGGACTGGTGGCTCCACCTACCCCACCTAGCCACCCATGACAGGGGTCCAAGAATAAGTGGTGCCTCCCACTCCTTACAGCCAACAGCATTTGGTGCCCATAGTCCAACTGCAAAAACCTACCCACCTACATACTCTAGGGAACAGGGACATGCTTTCCTCCCAGAAACTCAGGGGCAGCCATCAGCCCCCTGCCTTGCTCAGCACAATACCCCCTACTGCAGCCAGATACCTGTGCCCACACCAAACATCCCTGCCTGTCTAGGACTGTAAGTGAGAGCCTGCACCACACACTTGGTTACCAACCACCTGGACACCTGAGCTGAATCCATACAAGAAAAGTAAATAGACTCCTGGGCTCACATACCTAGTAACAGATCTAACCACCTGGTGACAGGACGTTAGAGCTTCAAAGATGCCAATAATCAAACTAGCTCTCATGAGCAGCCTATTTGGGCATATCAAAACAAAACAAAACAAGAAGCTAGGACACAGTAAGCAAACATAAAATAAATAAATATAATAACTTATTGATGGCTCAGAGACAATAGTCAATATCAAATCATCATGATGGCTTCAGCAAGCTCCCAAAACAAAGAATCAAGAAATTTTCCAGAGAAAGATAACTTCTTGGAATTACAGGAGGTAGAAAACAAAAGATTGATATACAGAACTCTTCAAGAGCTCAGGAAGGAGATCAGTAAAAATGCAGAACAAGCTAAGGAACACACAGACAAAGCAATAGGATCTTAAGAAGATTAGAGAAGAGCATAATGACAAATTTAACAGGCTGCAAGAATCCACAGAGAAACAGCAATCAGAAATCCAGAAGATTAATGATAAAATTTCAGAATTAGACAACTCAACAGAAAGTCGTAGGAGCAGAATTGAGGCAATGGAAGTCAGAATTAGTGAAATTGAAGATAAAGCACTTGACACCAACTTATTTGAGGAAAAATCAGATAAAAGAATTTAAAAAATGGAGAAACCCTAAGAATTATGTGGGACTCTATCAAAAGGAGTAACCTGCAAGTGACTGGAGTACCAGAACGGGGGGGGGGGGAATAACAGAAAATACAGAAAGAATTGATGACAATTTGTTGGCAGGAAACTTCCTTGATGTGGTGAAAGATGAGAAGATAGCTACCCAAGATGCTCATCGAACCCCACACAACATAGATCCCAAAAGAAAGTCACCAAGACATATTATAATCAAATTTGCCAAAACCAAAGATAGAGAATTTTAAGAGATAAATGAAAAGTCATCTACAAAGGAAAGTCAATAAGACTAAGCTCAGACTACTCAGCAGAAACCATGCAAGGAAGAAGGCAATGGGATGAAATATATAAAGCCTTGAAGGAAAAAAATTGCCAGCTAAGAATTATATATCTAGCAAAACTGTCTCTCAAATATGATGGAGAAATTACGGCATTTCTAGATAAACAGAAGTTTAGGGAATTTGCAAAAACCAAACCAAAATTACAAGAAATACTAAAGGTAATCCTCCAGTTAGAAAATCAATAACATCAGATAACAACGCAAGACTAGATCACAGGACAGAGTAAGCAGATATCAATCCAGACAGGGAAGACAGAAGAATAAATCAAAGCTAAAATGCTGAAAATAGGGAAACAGAGACATCAATATGTAAAAGATGGCAACATTAAAACAAAAAAGAGGGATTAAAAAATATAGTCATAGATCTTTCATATGAAAAGGAAGTCAAGGCTATATAATGAAATAATAGACTGATTTAAACTTATAAAAATAGAGGTAAACATTAAGGTAACCACAAAGGAAACTAACAATCCTACACATCAAAATAAAAAACAAGAAAAACACAAAGATTCAGCATATACAAAATCAACAACAATGAAAGAGATGAAAGAAAATCCATAAAGAAGAACAAATCAGCACAGAAAATTAAGTGGAACAAAGAAACTGTCAACAACACACAAAAAAAGACATCAAAATGACAGCACTAAACTCATACCTATCAATAATTACAATGAATGTAAAAGGATTAAATGCACCAATAAAGAGACTGAGAGTGATAGAAAGGATTAAAAAAACATGATCTGTCTATATGCAGCCTACAAGAGACACACCTTAGACTTAAAGACACAAACAAACACTCAAAGGATGAAAAAAAATATATCAAGCAAACAACAATCAAAAAAGAGCACAAGTGGCAATATTAATCTCTGACAAAACAGACTTTAAAGTAAAATCCACCACAAAGGATAAGGAAGGACACTATATAATGATTAAAGAGTCAATACACCAGGAGGGCATAACCATAATAAATTTTATGCACCCAATGACAGGGCTCCAAAATACATAAAACAAACTTTAACAGGATTGAAAAGAGAGGTAGACAGCTCCACAATAACAGTAGGAGACTTCAACACACTACTTTTGGTGAAGGAGAGAACATCCAGAAAGAAGCTCTATAAAGACACGGAAAAACTAAATGCCACAATCAACCAACTTGATCTCACAGACATAAACTGAACACTCCACCCAACAGCAGCCAAGTATGTTTTCTTTTCCAATGCACTTGGAACGTTCTCCAGAATAGACCACATATTAGGCTATAAAGCAAGCCTTAACAGAATCCAAAGCAGCAAAATATTACAAAGCATATTTTCTGACTGTAAAGCCATAAAAGTGGAAATCAATAATAGGAAAAGCAAGGTAAAAAAAAAAATCAAATGCATGGAAACTTAACAACACCTTGCTCAAAAACTACTGGGTTATAGAAAATATTAACGATGGAATAAAGAAATTCACAGAATCAAATGAGAATGAAAACACATCCTACCAGAACCTTTGGGACACAGCAAAAGCAGTGCTCAGAGGTCAATTTATAGCAATAAATGCACACATCCAAAAAGAAGAAAGGACCAAAGTCAAAACATTAACCTTACAACTGGAACACGTAGATAAAGAGAGCAGTAAAAGAAGCCCTTGGGCACCAAAAGAAAGGAAATAATAAGAATTAGAACAGAATTAAATGAAATAGAGAATAGAAAAACAAATCAAAGATTTAAAAAGACCAAAAGCTGGTTCTTTGAAAAGATCAACAAAATCGATCAACCATTGGACAAACTGACAAAGGAAAAACAGGAGAGAAGCAAATAACCCAAATACGAAATGAGGTGGGCGATTCACGACAGACCCAACTGAAATTAAAA